GCAAATGTATGCCTATTGGTCTGATCCCCTCAAGAATGTGTGTTTCCTTTAGGGCCGGGCAGACTCAATGCCACCTAGAATGAGGGCATTCTAGGATGCTCCCGCCTACACATGCACACAAGGTGATCACACACCTCTGTGACCCCTTTGGTTTTCATTATTTTACCCTGTTCCCAAGCCCGCTCTTTGCCTTTCGTGTTGTGGGGGGTCTTGGCCGCAGTCAGCTAACAGCTAGATGAACGCCCTGGATTAGTTTCCTCTAAAATAGCTGACAGGATGAAAAGGAAGCGGAAGTTGGTTTCCTTGATCAAGGCTGAGGAGTTAGGTAGAGAAGCCTGCGTGCCGAGGGCCATTACCCCGCGAAGGAGAGGGACACAGGAAGGGCACGTTCGTGGACAAGAGACGGAGCTGATCCCAGTGTCTTACATTTGTAGAAATCAAATAGAACATTTGCTGGAGAGATCCAATGTTTTCTATAAAGAACTAACCCTTTCGATGGGACGTACATAGTACGTTCGTGATAACGTTTTTCTTCCAGAAAGTTTGGATGGTAAGTTTGGACACACGAGGCACGGCTAACCACAGTGTGTTGGTCAAGCTGCGTGGGGCAGGGCACGGGGACTCTAAGGTGCCACATGTCAGTCAGTGGATTCAATCTGTGATGCCAAGTAAGAGCCACCTCCAAATATTCGCCACACCTGCATGGAATTAATTTCAGTTTCCTATGTGTGACGGGAGAGAAAGCGTGAGCTTAATGTCTATCATATGTCTCGGAAAAGCTCCAGACACACACCAGCCTGGAGTGAGAAATGTGGATTTTTCAGTTCCTAATGTTTAAAGGGTAACATTTCCTTAGTTTCACAAAAACAGAATGGCCTTTTTGGGGGGCCTGTCTTAAAGGAAATCTTGAGGGAGTGACTTCTGTAGGCATTCGCTGCTGTCAGGAAAAAGGGGTTCCAGCAAGTAGAAATATCTTGCCTCAGATCCCATGGTCTGTTAAAGACAGTCCCGGTTTGACATGGTGGACTGATAAGTTGCTTGAAGATACATAAAAAGGCTTTGTATAAGGGACTCCGTGGGGAAGAGGCTTACGGGCTCGGCAGAAATCTGAAATCTGCACGCAAAATATTGAGGTGTGGCGCGTTTTCTGAAGGTTCAAAGCTTTCATCAGATCTCGAATAAGTCCATCGCCCAAAAGGTTTAGGACATGCCCACTGCCTTCCACCAACGTGAATCCACGTCAGGTTAGAAAAACAGATGTAAAAGGGCTCTCAACAGCCATTGAAACAAACAGAAGAAACGGGAGGTAGATCTTGAGTGGTATTGAAACAGAAGGGGACTTTGCAAGCACAAAGAAATGGGAGAATTCACAAATACTGAATACATTTAATGTTCAAAGCTGGAAGTCCTTTTACAACCCAAAATATCATAAATAAAATTCAAAGATGAATTAGGGAAATGTTTATAATAAATTACCGGAAAAGGATGAATAGTCCTCATTAAGAAAATAAACTCTTACAAATCAGGAAGAAAAACTCTCTCAAGTAGAAAAACATAGGCAAGGGGTAGGAACAGACAGTTCACAGAACAAATACAGGTGATAAATAGCAGCTGCATGTTGGAGCCGCGGGTACTAGCCCATGTCAGCCAATCCCTGCTCCTCCTTTAGTGACATCACGTTGATTGCTTGACATTGGCCATGGTGGGATTTTTCATTATGGCAGAGAAATCGCCGAAAAATCAAGGCTTTTCGTGTTTTATTTGTTGACAGCGATGTAATGGCACACCGTTGGTTAAGAGATGTATAAAAAGCAGTTCAAGTGTAGCAGTAATCAGAGAAATACAAAAAGAAATGAGGTCCGGACAAGATGGAATAAGCACACTATAACCTACACCTCCTGCGAATTACCTCCTGTACCTCCTGTGAATTACAACAAGAAAGTTTCGAGAAAATCCACAGAGCAACTTACAGAGACTCTGAAAGCTGGAAAAAAGTAAGCGGACTGCCTACAGACCTTAGAACCCACAGAACTACCCAACAGTGAGTTCTTGTTTTTGGTTTTGCCTTTCTTATATCCTGGCCTGGGCTCTGGAGAGGCTCCCAATCTGGAAATGCCAATGGCACCAGACCAAAAAGAGGCTCGAGGAAAGCCTGCTGTCTCTAGCCCAAAGAGGTGGGAACAGGGTGACCCAGTAAGAGTGAAACGTTTTGACCACACCTGACCTTACTCTCACTCCAGGTGGGCACGCGAAAGCCATCCCCTCTGCCCCCCAGCTGGGCGCCACGTCTTGGAGATGGTAGAGCCCTGCCTTCCAATCCTGCTTACGATACGTGGCCACCTCTCTTCCCTGGAACAGAGACTGTGGGAGGAACTTTTCGGTGGATGTCTCATCGCCACAGAGGCCAGAAGGAGGTGGAACAGCGTTTTTCAATTGTGGAGAGAATAGTCAACCCAGAATTCTATAGCCAGTGAAAATATCCTTCAGGATTAAAGGCGAGATAGACATTGGATGAATGAAAAGCAAAAGAACTTGTCGGCAGCAGACCTGCTTTAACAGAATAGCTAAACAGAAGTTTTTCAGACAGAGAGGAAATGATAGTAGAAAGAAATGCAGAATATCAGGAATGAAGGAAGAAGAGAAAGGGTGGATATATAAGTAGATGTAGGAGACCACTCTTAAGTTTCCAAACTTCTGCTTGATGGTCGAAAGCAAAATTACAGTATCTGAAGTGGTTCTCAATGTACAACACGCAAGACATCGATGTGATAAAGGGAGGAAGGAGGCTAAAGACACCTTGAAGGAGGTAACGTTTTTCCACTCCACTTGAAGTGATAATGTACTAACACCAGTAGACTATGTTAAATTAGGCACATGTGGTGTAACCTTTAGAACAGCAGTTTTTCAGTGAGATGACTTTGTCCCCTTGGGGACGTCTGGCAATATTTGGAGATATGGTTACACATGCTACTGCCATCTAGTCGATGGAAACCAAGATGCAGCTAAACATTCCACGACACACAGGACAGTCCCATTCAACAAAGAGGTATCCAACCCCAGATGCCAGCAATGCCGAGGCTGAGAATCCTGCTTTCCGGCAAGCGTAGACAAAACTATACGAAGACAAATCTCAAAGAAAACTAGAGATAAATCAGCACAGAATACTAAAAAATGTTCAACTAATCTATCGGAGTTCAGGGAAGTGGAGCACAATAAACAAAAATCAGAGGGAACAATATGAAAGTGGTAGACAAATTCTAACATCAATGATTGCATTAAAAGTAAATGATCTAAACATCTGTTAAAAGGCAGTGACTGATGGAATGGATGACCCAACTACATGCGGTCTCTGAGAAACTCATTTCCAATAAGATGACACAGGTACATTAAGAGTAGAAAGGTAGGAAAAGATAAACCTTGCAAACACGAATCAAAAGAAAACTGAAGTGGATATATTAGTATGAGATAAAGGAGATTTTGGAACAAAGGTAATTACCAGAACTAAAGAGGGACATGACATAATGATAAAAGGGTCCATTCACCAAGAAAACACAACAATTCTAACTGTGCCTACCACAAACACCAGAAGTTCAAAATACGTGAAGGAAAAACTGATAGCCTGAGAAGAGACACGTTTATAGTTGAAAATGTTAATATCCCCTTTCAGTAAGTGATGGAACCACTAGACAGAAAAAAAAGAGATTTTTTTAATATCAAATTGGCAAAGCTTTGAAATGGTAATACTTAGAACTAGCAAAGTCGTGGTCTCTGTAATAATGTGGAAACATAAATATACAGAGTAGTCCTGAAAAAATATTTAGTTTCTGTATTAAGAGGCTTAAAAGGGTTATAGCATTTTTCCACCCAACATTTTGACTTTTAGGAATCTCTCCTAAAGGAATAATTACAGTTTCCCAAATTTATCTGTCTAGACCTTCACAACAGAGCGATTTATCACAGCAGAACTTAGAGATATCTGAAATTGCCCACTAATCGGCAAGTGCTTAAAAAAAAAGTATTCTTTATACATGTAGAGTGCTATGGTTCAAATAACATTTCTAAGAATTTTTAATGCCATGGCAAATAGGAATGATTTTAAGGCAAAAAAGTAGTATATAAAGCACTGTGCACAGAGCACAATGTAAATTATGTCAAAATACACATCATAGTTCAGTACAGAAATCATAGCAGTATGACGATAGCAAAAACTTGCCAGGGATTATTTCTCTGTGTTTTTCATTTGCTTGTTTTTACTACCTGTTCCCCCTCGAGTTTTCTATTGTTAAATGATGTCTTATTCATGGTTATAACAAACAGAAACTGTTACTTCTGAAACAGCATAAAAATGAGTTGATATATAGAGGGTCTAATACCATGCTGCATCTGGTACGGAGAAACTCAGTGGGTGAATTCTTGCAAATAGTTTTGAAAATGAAACATGGGGGGGCACCTGGGTGGCTCCGTTGGTTAAATGACTGACTCTTGATTTCGACTTAGATTATGATCTCATGGTTCGTGAGATCGAGCCCCGTGCTGTCCATGCGGAGCCTGCTTGTGATTCTCTCTCCCCCTCTCTCTGTCCCTTCCCTGCTCACAATCTCCCACTCCTCTCTCTCTAAATGAATAAATAAACTTAAAAAAAAAAAAAAGAAAATGAAAAAGGGTAAGAAGGGATGCCCATTAATATTCCTAAAGTGATCATCTTCATTTCATTGTCCAGGCCTATTAGCAGTGGCCCCGCCATTCTCAAAAGCGTCACGGTGTAGGTGGTAAGTTGCACGGGGACCCTTACCGTTCTGAACAGAAAAATATTCTAAGGAAACAAGTACGTGTTGCATCAGGACTATACATCAAGCACTAAATGCTTTATCTCTCAACCATCTGAGGAGCTGAATTATCTCTGATTCATAACGGCCCCGGCAAGTTAAGCGACTAGACGTGGGCAAGTGGCAGGGTCTGGATTTGAAGGGCATCCATCACAGCAGCGGCGGAAGGCATACCTGGGCCTGCCGAAGAGCAGGGTTGGCCGGCAGGGGTCTGGCGGGGACGAGGGGTGCACGGGGAGCCTTCTGGAGAGGCGGGAGCACTCGCTGAGGCGAACTGGGCGGAGGGGCGTCGAGGGCTGTGAGGGGTCCGCTGATGTCAAGATTCTGACACTGTGGCCACCTCCTGGCGTTGTCCTGCAGGGACGGAGCAAAAGCCATGGTGTCACGGGTCTCGCCTCCTTAGGAGACAGGGGGGGTGACTGGTCCGCTATAGCTGAAGGGGCCGGCGGTGCTGCTGCACGAGAGGGAGTCTATCATCATTTGTTTAAACTTCACAATTGTAGCAGAAGCACCCCTCCTCCCCAGCGTGGACTAGCAGGATCGATTTCTACGTGAACTGTAAAAACTGGTTTCATTCGTTAATAGATAGGCGCAAGGCAACTAAGGAAGCGCTAATGAGTTTGAGGACACACACTAGATCTCTTGGAAGTGATGAAGGAGCTGTTCAGCGAGGCGTAAGGATGCCTTCAAAGCTCAGGGAGAACCGAGGAAGCCCCCGGCAAGGAGGATGGAAGCGTGTGGAAGCTGAGGCGAGGGGCCCACACCTGGAGCATCATGTCGTACACGGTGCCCCTGCTTTCAGGGCAGACCCGAGCAGATGCAGTGTGGGCCGTGTGCCTCAGGCCCCGCCTCTTTTCTTCCTTTCTCTCGTTTTAAAAAAACGGCTTTTTTAAGGATCCATGGACATATGGCTAACGGCACATACTGAAACCGGACAACGTGGAAAACTGTGACACGTGTCCACACCGATGAAACCATCACGATGTGCAAAATAGTGAGCGTAAAGCCGTCCCCCATCCCCCACTGCCCTCCCTTGCAACTACTGATATGCTTTCTGTCCTCATAAAATAGTTTGCATTTTCTAGAATGTCTCACAAATGGAGTTAGGGGGTAGGTACTCTGTCAGGCTTCTTTTACTTGGCATAATTATCTTGAGATTCATGTTGTGTATATTAATAGTCCGCTTTTTCTTACTGCTGAATAGCATTCCATTGTGTAAATATACCAAAGTTTGTTTATCCTTTTACCTGTTGATGGAAATTTGGGTCGTTTCCTGTTTTTGGCTCCTCAAAATTAAGCCGCTTTTTTGGCTCTCGCGGGTAAAGCTAGCTGTTCTTGCTCAAGTCCCAATTTGGGGCTCAGAGGTGGTAAAGCCTGTTAGGAATGACAGCTTCCTCTTTGGAGCCCAATCCTCCACGCTTGTAGATCAGGTAAGACATGGGAGATAAGATAGTTTATTTATGGCTTACTGAATGCGTGACGTTAATTAAGAATAAATTTTTTTAACGTTTATTTTTGGCAGAGAGAGAGAGAGACAGACAGACAGAGCATGAGCAGGGGAGGGGCAGAGAGAGAGGAAGACACAGAATCCGAAGCAGGCTCCAGGCTCCGAGGCATCAGCACAGACCCCAACACGGGGCTCGAACTCACAGACTGCGAGATCGTGACCTGGGCCAAAGTCGGATGCTCAACCGAGCCACCCGGGTGCCCCACCGTGATGTTAATTTTTAAAATCATTTGTCATCAGAAATACTTGATGGGAAAACTAAATATTGGAATGAAGTCTGGTGGTAATTCATGAGGGAGCCGGCGGGTACTCTGGGTTAAGGAGCCGGTTCTTTGAAACCAGAGGGTCGACAGGGTGTCCACAGCCCAGAGCTGGAGCAAATGGGGTCCGTCCACAGGCTCAGCATAACTCCTAGAAATGCACTGGGAGGTACAGGGCCAAAGAAGTTCACCCAAACCTCCCCAGCGGCATCTGAAACCGGAGGAAGAGGAGGACCCAGGAAGAGGAAGACTGGGAACCTCCTTGGGAGGCAGAGCCGGTGGGCTCGTCTGGGCGATTGGATGGATCATGGCTCACAATGTGGCACACACATCACACAGGGGACCCTGCCCCTAAAGGATCTAGTGGGGGATCTAGTGGGGCATCCATGGGGCACAACGGGCTTCCTTCCGGCCCTTGACCATCACCTCACCAAGCTTTTGTGGAACTCAGTGTGTGCACGCTGCATTTCAGGGAACTGTTCCCGCTGCCGATCTATCTATAGATTCTCTGGGATCGATTCCCGCTCAAGCTCTTGTTGAAAAACACTGAGATACAGGTCTCTCACTGTGCACACCGACCTCTCATGTCTGTTTACAACTTACCTTCGACATGTTGGAATGTGGTGGCTTCCTCATCAGGCCTTTGCTGAGGTGGCTGAGGTGAGCCTGGCCAGGGTTCGAGCCACGCGACGGCCGAGAAGGGCGCACACACCTGTGAGCAGTCCCGTTAAGCGTAAACCAGAGCTTTTCTCCCTGGGTTGACTTAACTACTTTTCTATTTGGTTCCCAGTCTCAAAAAACAACTTACTTACTTTAACTCAGTGTGGAAAACACGCAAAGGACAAATTATCTAAACATTCTCGCAGGATTAAGAAATAAATATCGATCCCCGCCCCCCACCCGCCCCCTGTCCCCCAAAGCCACTATTCTGTTAAATTAGTTCTTGCAATCCGCACATACATGGCTTTGTGACACCTGGGAGACATTTTATAGAAAGCTGGCATTTCAGCAATAATGCCTTTGAATATATTTGGGTCAAAAGCTACCCCGGCTGATGAAAATATTTTAACATCCCATGTCTTGTAAACATTACTGAGGTAAGGGTGGGAAACAATACAGTGGGACTCATTAACACCTTGCTTATTTATATAAAAAGCAGCAAATCGTTGAAGGCAAAGGAAGGGAGGCAGCTGGTCTGGCAGAGATTTAAAAAAAACCCCAAACAACAGTTTCACTATCTGAACATCTGACCTCTTCTTTGCTAAGGAAAACAGAGTGCAAAGAAGATTGGTTGCATGTTCTTTCAAATGCCATTTCTGGAAAACAGGACCCATCGCCAAGATACCTTAGCTTTTCGATGGTGGTTTTTTTATCTGTAAACAGCAGGCGTATTAGCGTCTTCCTTTTCAGATAAACTACAAATCCAGCAGCGAGAAGACACAGGATCGTCACCAGGACTCCTATGGTCAAACCTTGGTTGTCTGAAACAAAACGCATTGATTGCACTCAGGGAAAGAGGCAGGGAGAATGATACATGGGAAGTGTCAGATCGTGACATTTATGGCAACGCGAGCTTTGAAGGAAGGCACAGCATTGGAGTGAGTCCCTGAATGATGTGCTGATAAATTAGTCTTACTTCAAAGGTCACGCCTGAGGTTCTGTCCGTGTCGCCCTCGTTCATTTCTGACAACAGGAGCCTAGCCTGGCAGGTGGGACCGCAGCCCTGATCACACAGCCCCGCCCACCCCCAGCAGGGATGGGGGCCCCAGAGGGGTGGCAGGGAGCCCGCACGTCCCCAACCGTGACCTTCCCAGCCCCCATCACAAATGTGCGCCTCCGGGCTCTCTTCTTCTGTCATTCCTTAGTGCTGAAGTCTGTGTTTTTGTTTTGTTTCCTTGTATTTTTTTTTTTAGACCAAGACTTTATTTCAGGACATTGTCAAGCTAGAAGGTGAAGACAAGGGGCGCCTGGGTGGCTCAGTCAGCGAAGCGTCTGACTTCGGCTCAGGTCGCGATCTCACAGTTTATGAGTTTGAGCCCCGCGTCGGGCTCTGTGC